CCACCTGTGACAGACAGATGGACCCCCATCCCAGGCAGACTGACCCCTCCTATCCATGACACATGGACCCCCGTCCCGGGCAGACTGCCCTCCCACCCATGACAGGCAGGACCTGGACAGACTGCCGTTCCCCCAGGACAGACAGACACCCCCTTGGCCGGAGCGGCTCAGGGCAGCGTTCGTCCCTTCTCCCCCTCTTTCCTACAGAGAGAACAACGGAGATCGGGCAGCTGCTCAGCTCCTACCTGGAGAAGGAGCGGAACCTGGAGGACCACACCGTTCACCTGCTCTTCTCCGCCAACCGCTGGGAGCACGTGTAAGGACCGTTACGTTGTAGAAGAAAAACTGGTGGCCTTGAGTCCTCCCCGCCATTTTAGCTCGCAGCGGGCACTGCGCGGGCAAGGGTACGACCCGGTTTAGCAAGGGAAACGTGGCTGGAAGCAATGTCCCAACGACTGGTAGCACCTCTTAAAACTCGGGATTTAATCTTCCTAGATCGAATCCCATGGTTTGTTTCTTGAAATCGTCAGGTGCGATTTCCAGTTCCTGTGCTCTACTGGATTGAAGAACTGGGGAGCTGAGACCGTACCAGCCTAGACTGGTAAATTACTGGCTTTCCTGAAGGAGGAGACCTTGCTTTGCAAGGAAGTCTGTGGGAGTGACATCGTGGTTAAGGAATCGTGTCCAGACTTCCCCCCGGGCCAAAGGCTGCATTCAGCCATAAACATCTGTCCCTGCTTTCACCCTCGAATCTCCAGTGTCGGCTCTTGCTCTTACCTGGAAATCTGTACTGCAAAATGGTTTTCATTTTAGAGAAAGCGTGCGTTCAGCCATAAACATCTGTCCCTGCTTTCAGCCCTCGAGTCTCCCAGTGTTGGCTCTTGCTCTTACCTGGAAATCTGTGCTGCAAAATGGTTTTCATTTTAGAGAAAGCGTTGCTGGTTCTGCTGTAGTGGTGGTGCCAGGCAAACTGGGAAAGTGAAGGCAGGTGGACGAGCTGTAATGGGAAATGTCATTGTTGTGAGCAAAGGACGCTTTTCTCCGAGCGAGACAGAGCATGTCACAGACCTGCCCCATTAAAAAGGGAGGAGGACTAGGCTGTTCTCGTCCGAGTAGAAGTCATGGAGCTGCCTGGAGCAGTGCCCTGCGCTGGGGCACCCTGAACTCGGGTGTCTTGACAGGGTGTTTGCCAAACATCTCTTGGAGGGCAGAATACCGACAGCTGTTTATCTGGGGCCGGCAGCACAGATGACCCTGACACTTCTTTAATGGCTTTAAACTGGAAGAGGGCAGATTTAGATGGGATATAAGGAAGAAATTCTTCCCTCTGAGGGTGGTGAGGCACTGGAACAGGTTGCCCAGAGAAGCTGTGGCTGCCCCATTCCTGGCAGTGTTCAAGGCCAGGTTGGATGAGGCTTTGGGCAACCCGGTGTAGTGGAGGGTGTCCCTGCCCATGGCAGGGGGGTTGGAACTGGATGGGCTTTGAGGGCCCTTCCAACACAAACCCTTCCATGATTCTAATGATCTGGTTGCAATGGTGTGTGTCAACAGAAGCACTGGCCTCGTGAGCTGTCCTTCAGAGGAACCCCTTTCACTTGTATCACTACAAAGGAGTATAACTCTTACTATTTATGGTTTCTTCTCCCACATGGTTTTCAGACCATCGATGAAAGAGAAACTGCATCAAGGGATCACGCTGGTGGTTGACAGATACGCCTTTTCTGGAGTGGCCTTCACAAGTGCCAAAGAGGTGAGCGAGACCTGCGGC